ACCTATGCAACTGTATTGCATGCTCTGCACATGTACCCCAAAACCTAAAATGCAATAAAAAATAAAAAAAAAAAAGAAGGGATTTACTCACAAGGCAGGAGCAAGGAGAACAACCATGGGAGGAGTTCTAACCACCAGCAAAGATCAGTAGAATTCTTACTGGGAAAAAGATGAAAATCCGGAGGGTGGATAACAGGGGATGTGATCTGCCTGGGTTCTTCAGGGAATCAACAAATGCTTCTTTTTCATAGCTCTACCTGAAGAGATGGGGCAGTGAAGAGGATAGAAACACCGGATACATTTTGTCTTTGAGAAGACATTGCCTTGCAGGTGATCTTAACGTATCGCAGGCAATGGCCTTATTGTTGATTTATGCAACCAGTGAGCTGAAGATCCTACTCTTGTAACCTTTGCTTCCAGGATGGAAGGGAAGAGATATATTTTTGTTTGTTTAAAATTTGTATTTTAATAACTTTTTATTTTGGATGATGTTAGACTCACATAGAAGTTGTTAAAATAGTATAGAAAGAGAGAAAGCATAGTAGATTCTAGGACTATCTAAGCCTACATACTGATGAAGATATAATGAGAGGCTAGACAGATTTGAGTTGGAGCCAAATGCACAAATGCAGTGGGTTGAGGACCCCTGAGATCCCTCAAATATGCTGAGAGAATAAAGCACAAATTTCACCTGCCACAGACTTTCTCAGTAGCTGGGGAGAAGTTACTGAGAAACACAGACTTTCTCAGTCTCTGGGGATTAGCTCAGGGAAAAGCAGAGGCTAGCATGGCCTTAAAGAACACCACTAACCCTGCCAAACCTTTCCTGTCAAACATGTCACCTGTTTACATATACCCTGTGCAGCCATAAGAAAGAATGAGGTCATGTCCTTTGCAGGAACATGATGGAGGCCATTATTTTTAGCAAACTAGCAGGTACAGAAAACTACATACTGCATGTTCTCACTAGTGGGTGGTAAATGATGAGAACACATGGACACATAGAGAAGAACACCACACATTGGGGCCTGCTGGAGGGTGGAGGGTGGGAAGAAGGAGAGGACAGGATAAATAGCTAATACGTACAAGGCTAAATATCTCGGTGATGAAATCATCTGTACAACAAATCCCCACTACACGAGTTTACCTATATAACGAACCTGCACATGAACCCTTGAACTTAACTAGAAGTTTAAAAAAATAAAAAATAAAAGAGAAATACCTTACAGGACTGGAGGTGATATCAGGGTCACAAGTGGTCACATGTCCAAACACAGTTTAGAGCAGCATTTTCAAGAACTTCAAGGGGGTAAAGAGAAGACCGGGGGCTCATCAGCGTCTTCAATGAGGATTTTGACTGTTGCCATGTCTTTAAAGGGCCCCATGCAGCTAAAACCTGGGTCATCGTGGACACTGACTCCCTCTACCTTCAGCATATGGTATTTTTGGGTCTGAAAGTCCAGAGGCTGTTAAGAAATGACAAAGATGAATGTTTCTCTCTAATGACCACAGCAGCCAGAACAAATGAGTATAATGCTGATGGATCAGAGTCGTGTGTGTTGAAACCCATTTGTGAGCCTTAATGGGATCACTCTCCAGTCCCCCAGATCAACCTGTAAATTTTACAGGCATTTGTTGATATTTGTTTATTACACAAGCTTAGTGAATGTAAAAAAAAAAAAAAATCATGGTTGAGTGTGGTGGCTCACACTTCTAATCCCAGCACTTTGGGAGGCTGAGGCAGGCAGATCACAAGGTCAGGAGTTTGAGATCACCCTGGCCACCATGGTGAAACCCTATCTCTGCCAAAACAAAAACAAAAACAAAAACAAAATTTAGCCCGGCATGGTGGCGTGTGCCTGTAATTCCAGCTACTTGCGAGGCTGAGGCAGGAGAGTTGCTTGAACCCAAGAGGTGGAGGTTGCAGTGAGCCGAGATCGGGCCACTGCACTGCAGCCTGGGTGACAGAGTGAGACTTTGTCTCAGAAACAAACAAAAAAAAATCACCTGCTACGGTGACATTAAGAAGAGAGAGAAGAAAGAAATCCAAAAAGACAATATTTACTCTAAACAGAGTTACTTTAAACTGGCAACTCTAAGACTCTTTTTCTGCCTTTGTGTCCACAAAAAAGAGAATTTGAGAGCAAGATAAGACCATTAAAGAAAATAATCCACACTTCTATAGCAACACTCTTTTGTAACGTGCTAAATTACACACGTCATTGTACTTTGATGACTGTAATTTCTAATCTGTATCGCCGCCCATTCATATTCGAGTCACATTTATTTGGGTAGTTACTGTACTAGGCATCAGCATTTACCTATCCCTGTTGTCCATGGTCTAGGATTAGCCAATATCCAGTTTTGATTCTGGAAAGTGGACTACTGGAGCCTGAAGACCAAAGTTTAATGAGTTGCAGCAGTACGGGTTTACCCTTGACGTGTGGATTCACAAGCGGCCGGGCTGGAGGCTCACTTTTACACTTCGGTTTAATCTTGCGTTCGAAATGGCCAGGGGCTTTCTCATGACCAATAAGCAAAGCACTTCATCCTTTGTTTAAACCAGGGATAGTGGCAGGGGTATATGTGCGAAGGGCAGAGAGGTATGTCGGGTGCTGGCAGGGTGGCTTTGAGACCAAGAGGTGGGACTCACCTCCAGGCATTGTGTCCCATAGTTGGAGGCTGCGCTGAGTGGGTTGAGGTCCTGGCCCGAAGTACAGAGTGTGCCGTTGGAGGACTGCACCTCTTATCTCAAGAACTTTTTTTATCTTTGGGTCCTATGCTCTTGGAGCTTGTCTCTATGGGCTTTGGTGAGCATCAGAATTCAGGGGTCAAACCTAAGTTAGATGTGGACAAATGGCTAAGAGAACAAGGTGCTAGTTTAGGGATGAACTGCCAGTGGAAGGATATAGTTTTTGGAATTTTAGGCTTGCCTTACAGAGAGATTTTTCTTGCTACACACACCTGAGCCTTGAAACCAAGCTGCCAGAGCTCTAGAACCATAGCCAGCTGCTGGCATCTCTAGCCATAGCTTCACTTTCTCTTCCCAGATGCAATTTGTCTAAAATTGGAGCCATACCCCTCCAGAAGCTGCTGTTTCTCCACTATTTATTTTGATGAACGACCCATCATAACCTAGATTCTCAAATCAGAAATATGGAATTATTTCAGTAATTCTTTCCTCATCTCTATATCTAATTAATCAAAAAGATTTAATTAGTTCTGAAGCAGGAAATGTTTCTGACCCCTTTATGGGTGGATACAGGAACTGGAGTGCACGGGTTCTAGAACTAGCAGGCTGCTTTGGTGCTGGCAGGGGCAGACTCCACTCGCTGGGTCCTGCTGCCTCATGGAGGGGGAGCACAGGTGAGTGGGTGCAGGAGCCAGGGCCAGTGTGTGCAGGAGCAAAACTGTGTGGCCCTTGGCAGTGTCTGGGGGGGGTACCTGCGACCCCTGAAGCCGCAGAGGGTGTGCGATACAGTGCTCTTTTAGCTTTGCCATCCACTGATGGCTTAAATGTTAAATAGCTCAGTGGGCCCTCTGTTTTCTGGTGTGAGGCAGTTGCTCTCTGCCAGTGCAGCAGAGGGTCAGTGTGACAGTCTTTAGTGTCACACCTGTGGCACCCAAGCTCTTGTTTGGCATCCAGGAAAAATCAGGTGACAGGAACAAATTGAAGAATGGTGAACGCAGAGGATTTTATTGCTGATGAGAGTAGCTCTCAGTGGGAAGGGGAGCCGTAAAGGGGATGGAGTGGGAAGGTGATCTTCCCCAGGAGCAACACCTTCAGGCCATATCTCTGAAGTGAAGCTGTTTCTTCTCTCCTCTCCTCTCTGCCAGTGGAGCCAGGAGTTTTTACGGGCAAATGATCTGGGGCTGGGAGGCCATAGGTGGTTTTAGGAAAGGCAACAGTCAAGAGGGAAAACAGGGATGCCTGTTCTCACTTTGGGCCATCGATCCAGGCTTGAGGGTGGAGCTGGGAACCTGCCCTCTTCTGTTCAGAATTTCCCCACCTCCTGTTTTTGGAAATCAGTTCCATTTCCAAATACAATATAACTCAACATTTTCCTTCTTCAACATTTCCTCTGCCTTTTTCTAGCTGCCATAATTCCCTCTTTTCCTTGCCCACCTCCAATCAATGGAGGGAATAATGGGCAAAGTGATCTTTCCATAATGTAAATGTGTTCTGATCACCCTCTGGAGTAATCCTACTTAAAACCATTTTCGGCACAAAATTTAAACATCTAAACGTGGTCTTGCTGACTTTGCTTACTTTTGCAGCTTCACCCTCTTTCTCCCCAAACCTAGCTAGTGTTTGTGCTGCCTGCAATGCCCTTCTTTCTTTGCGGGAGCCACCGCTTTAGGTCCTGCTTCACCTCCTTCAGAAAGTTTTTTCTCTTTCTCCCTAGTGGGGATAGGACCTGTTTATTTTGACACCATTAGCATACGTACACACATTTGTCACAAGTCTTAAACTGCACCGTTATTGAAAATTTACCATCTGACTTTGAGTAGCTAAAGAGGGCCCTATCAAAACCCAGTAGATATTTATTCTCAAAGTACAAATGCAAGATCATTTAGGAACACTTGTCAAAATGTTTTTGTCCCCTCAGATTCTGTTTTGGTAGGTCAGCAGTGGGGGTCCAGTTCCCTCTGCTGCATTTTGATAGTTCCCTGAGGTTTGTCATGTAGGAAGTGTAGGGATTACGCTGATAAATCTACCATAGCTAAGGGGGACTTTCCTTCCCGGGGTCTATCTCTGGAAGCCCCTTAAGGATAGGGGTCGCATGCATTTCTCCAGGCCAGCAACTAAACTCAGAAAACGTTTATTGAGTGGATGACGAAACGATAGGTGAGTAGGTCACAGGTCCTAGCAACTCCTACTGCTTCCAGCCACAGAAACGGTCCTTTCAAGCCCAGACTCTTTGGCAGGACCGTCCAGCGAGTGGAGTCACTCTGAACTACGTTTCCCAGGATTCCAAGGGAGCCATGCGCAGGCGCACTTGGAAAATACGGCGGCCGTCTTCCTTCCAGAAATTTGCAGGTCACTCACCCTCGTCCGCCCCTGCCACTCCCCCACTCCTTCTGTCCGGCAGTCGGAGCCCAGCGGCTCTACTTGTGTGTGTATCGCTGCAGGCCTTATTCATGGGCTCACCGCTGAGGTTCGACGGGCGGGTGGTGCTGGTCACCGGCGCGGGGGGAGGTGAGCATGCGAAGGTTGGAGGCGGCCAGCTTTGCTCTCCCAAGGGCTGCTGGCCGCCCTTTGCGGGCCCGGGGGATACGAGCGCAGCCGCAGCTGAGGTGCCGGCGCCGGGGCTATTGGCGGTGGTGACTGGGAGGCTTGGGGACCGAGCGGCTGCACCGGGTGGTGGTGGTGGGGAGGAGAATGGCTGTTGTTGAGGCACCGAATCAGCTGAGGAGGAAAAAGCCCGAAACACCCGGTCGCTCAGGCAGGTACAGCACCCCGGTGTAGGCGTCCCAAGTGGAGAGGCCAGGCTGGGGTACTGGTTGCAAAACTGGGTGAAAGTTCTTCCGGACTCTTGTCTGTGGGCATTGATCGTTACTTTTCCTGCAATTAACTCTCTTAGATCTTTGCATAGTCTTTTAAAGGACTGGAAAGCCGCGAGGGGCGGGGGCTGTAATTCGCCTCAGCTCCTGAAAAGTCAGTCGTTCAGTGTTGGTTTCTCTCTGTCACACGATTTTAAGTTCTTGAGAGGGCATTTTTAAAAGAGGGCGTCTGATAAGAGCCCTCCCCGTTGGAGTTTGTGCTCGAAGTTGGAGTCTTGGCAAGGGTTGTAAACTCAAATGCGGACAGAGGTCAGGCGTATGATGGAGAAAGAAAATGGGAGTACAATGTGGAGGGACATTGAGGAACTGGAAAGCAGAGACTTCCCAAGTGGTCCAGCCAGTGGGAAAGTTTCCTGTATTTCAGGAGCGGCAAAATGGAAAATTGTTCTGTAAAATAACATTTTTAAAGGACAAAAAAATAAAACTACTCATACCCACATGGATGCTGTGCAGTGAGATTTTACACTAGTTTCTCACCTCTGTGACCTCCAAGTGCAGGGACCTTGACATATGCACCTTTGATATGGTAGTGCCATATACCTGGAAAGGGCCTAATGCATAAATCATTTGAGTTATATATTAAACGTTACAAACTGTGGAATTCTGCCAGTTAATTCCTATGTACTTTCATATCTCTGTTGATAAAGTGGATTCTTATGCTGCTTTTCACGAAACGCTTTTAGTATTTATTAATAGCCAAGTATTTTATACTCATAGCTGTCTGGTTATATCTCGATGTATTTGGGTGTACTCATACCTTCTAAATATTTTTAGGAAAACGTTTTGTTTATACTTTGCTTTTGATGGAAATAATGTGTTTTAAAACGGTTGGTGTTTTTAATCTTTCCTAACAGTTCTCGGATAATTTTCATGCAGAAGGTCCAGGGATTACATTCTGAGAAGTTTTTGCCATTGCTAAGGGGACTTTCCTTTTCAGGGGCTATATCTGAAAACCATTCAAGAATAGGGACTGTTTATTATGATGCCGTTAGCATACTTACACATGGTATGCAGTGCATTTTACACCAGGACTCAGTACACTTACACATGCCCACACATCTGTATTTAAAACCAGTTTATGATACAATATGTAGTACTTGCATTGTATCCTGAAATTTATTTTCTATTCTGTTTTATTTATAAATTTTAATTGCAACCCACAAAATTGATTTTGTGAAACAATGAGTTGTGACTAGACAGTTATGAACTTAGCACCTGCTGTTCATAAACTGGTTAAATTCTCTCTTACTCGTTCAGTGTGGATTAATTTTTTTTTTTTTTTTCAGAGAAAATGTTGTACTCTGTAACCCAGGCTGGAGTGCAGTAACCCAGGCTGGAGGGCGGTGACCCGATCATGGCTCACTGTAACCTTGAACTCTTGGGCTCAAGTGATCCTTTTGCATCAGCCTCCTGCCTAGCTAGGACTCTATGTGTGTGCCATCATGCCCAGCTAATTTTTAAATGTTTTCTAGAGATGGAATCTTGCTTTGTTGCTCAGGCTGGTCTTAAACTCCTGGCCTCAAGCGATCCTTCTGCTTGGATTAAATTCTAAAATAAGTTATTTGATGATATTTTCTAGTTTAGGAAAACTCTGTGTTTTTAGTTCTTTTTGTTTGTTTGTTTGTTTGTTTGAGAAGAAGTCTCACTGTATTGCCAAGGTTGGAGTGTAGTGGCACAATCTTGGCTGACTGCAACATCCACCTACCCATTTCAAGCAATTCTACCGCAGCTTCCCAAGTAGCTTGGGGTACAGGTATATGCCACAGTTTTATTTCTTTTTGGCTATGTAAACTTATACCTTATAGCTTTGAGTCAGAAATATTTTTTGTGTTTGATGACTGTGTAGTCAAGGTTTCAGGGCAGGATACAGAAACCACTAGATATTTTAAGCAGTAAAGGATTCAATATAGACAATTAGGTTTTAGAGAGGTCTTAGAATAACTTCTGCATCAATAGGAAATTGATCTATTAGAGGAGGCAATACCTCTGAGGCTGAAACTGGAGCTGTGCCACAGCCCAGGTAGCAATGGCACTAGGGACCTGAAGTATGGAAGCTACCATCTGGGGATTAGGGAGCTGAATGAAGAAGTTGCCTCTATAGTCATTGTTTTTTAATGCGGAGGAACTTTCAAGAAAATTAACTTCTTAACAGCAACAGCTAGAACTCTCAGTAAGGTGGCCTCTGTCTCACTTCCACCTTCTAAATTTTATGCAGATGCATCAGATGGTGGAACCCAATCCACAGCATCCTAGCAGCTAAGTAAAATGGTAGGAAATGGTAGTAGAATAGGAAAAACACAGTTTTAAGTTTTCCAACCTCTGCAAGCAGAAGAGAGTGGTTAGGTTGAGAGTACCAGTGGTAGGATAGGTTGAGAATACCATTAAAACATAATTAATTGCTCACCAGTTTTTTAAATGGGGATTGAGTTGAGTGGACCAAAAAAACTATGCTGACATTTCTTCAACTTTCTGATTATTTTGTTTTTGATTAGGATTGGGCCAAGCCTATGCCCTGGCTTTTGCAGAAAGAGGAGCATTTGTTGTTGGTAAGTTGGTGTGTTTTTCTTTTTAATCCGTAGCTGATAACTGAAATACAATCTTCACAAGCTACCTTTGTTTTTCTATCAAATAATTGGTCAAGGCTGAATTTTATCATTAATTTTTACTTTTGCCAGAAGGTTTTACCCCCACTAAGGCTGCGTTTTTAACCTACTTTTAAAAGTTAATGAGTTTCACAGATTTCCCAACTTAACAGAATTGATAAATAAGGGCTAGCGAGTGGGCATGGTGGCTTATGGCTATAGTGCCATCCACTCAGGAGGCTGAGGTGGGAGGATCGCTTGAGCCCAGGAGTTTTCAGCTACAGAGAACTATCATTATGCCATTGCACTCCAACTTGGGTGATGACGTGAAACCCTTTTCCTCACAGAAAAGGGTGGGAACAAGCATTTATTGTATAAAAGGAAATTCTTGACGTTAGTAAATTGTGGGCTGTAATTTTTTGAGGCGGGAGATTCATCTGCTGGTGTGAGATCAAAAGAGAGCCCAGTAAGAAATAACAGAATTTTGAGAACTGGAAGTTTGGAGTCAAGGTATCTAAAATATGGGTTTCTTGTCTCTTTCATGGAAACTTTTCAACTGGAAGCTTTAAAAAAAATTAACTGAGGGGGCAGTTACGTGAGTTTTTGTTTAGTAGTGAAGGGGTCAGATATACTGAAGAATCCCAAAGAGGGGAGATTTTAATAATCTAACTGGTTTGGACTGACCTAATGTGCTTGACTGTTGATGTGGACACAGAAATGAATTTGTCCACAACTGAGCCTTTGTGGGGAATAACTAAATAGTACTAAGTGCAGAAGGATATATAGGACCCAGTATTAGCGTATTTCCTGGGATAAAATCGTGGGCCCACAATGACCTTCTATTTCAGCTTCCTGACATCTTATGAGGCAATACAGAGAGATGAATTTTCATCAGTTTTTTCAGGGAGATACATATAACAAAAGAGTAAGCAAGCAACCAGGTTTTCTTGCTTAGAAGCCCTAAGCTGAGCATTTAATATACTTTTCTCCTTCAGTGTGGATGTGTAGCTTATCTTTATGAAAGGAACACAGACACTTTGGATGTTCCTTGTTTACGATCATAGCCACTATCTGATAATCCAGTCTGCTTCTTGTGGCAAGGACGAATTTTGACATTGTAGTATTTGGACAGCAGGTATGTATTTCAGCCCCTCTGCCAGATTTTCCCAGGAATAGCTTGTGTTGAGGCCTAAAGACACATGCTGTTACTGTTTTTTCTTTTTCTTCTCTTTTTTTTATTGCTATTTAGTTCTTAGTATTTTTACCTTATATGTTTTCATTTTTTCTGCTTTATATGTTTTTATTTTTATCTTTTCTGCTCAATTCCTTCAGTTCAAGGATCTTGTTTTATTGTATCTACTAAAGGACCTAGAATATTACCTTGTGCAAAGAAGGTACTGTGTTGATTGGTTCTTTTATTCTTGAAATAGTCTTTTTTGGGGAGGGGCTGGTGTGTTTGAGATTGGTTGAATACATTTGTTGTGTTTTTTTTTGTTCTTGACTACAATATAAACTTAGTTTATAAACTTGTTTTATAAAACATTTTTTAACAGTGTGTTCGTTTGTATCAGTTTTACTTTATTTCCCTGTTCCTTCTGAATTTCTTAAATTCCGATTAGAAATGTTTGAATTCTAAGAAAAAATTAAATGAAGAGGCTGTGTCTATCTATTCTGTCATTGCATTACTATAGTAGGGATGATAATTGAATCAAGTCCTGGTAAAAGTCCAAGAATACAGAAGAAAAATATTTCCTAAACCTGGTTGAAGAGCCAGTTTTAGTTTAGTGTTAAAGTTGAGAACTCAATGTTTGTGGAAATGCAGAAATTTTGACTATGTTTTCTATTCATTTTTAGTCTGTGTCTTAACTGTGAACTTTCTAGACCACCAGTGGATTGTCTTCTTCTCTACCACACTACTTTCTATGTGAGCCTTTTTACATGTACGCCATAGACACTCTGTTTCCAGGTTGCTTCACACCGCTAATTTTTTTCTTTTTTTTGAGGCGGAGCCTCATTCCGTCGCCCAGGCTAGAGTGCAGTGGCGTAGTCTCAGTTCACTGCAACCTCTTACTTCCGGGTTCAAACAGTTCTCTTCTTCAGCCTCCTGAGTAGCTGGGATTACAGGGGCCCGCCACCACTCCTGGTAATTTTTTTTTCCCGGCTAATTTTTTTTTGTTGTTTGTTTGTTTTTAGTAGAGATGGGGAGTCACCTTCTTGGCCAGGCTGGTCTTGAACTTCTGACCTCGTGATCCACCTGCCTCAGTCTCCCAAAGTGCTGGGGTTACAGGGATGAGCCACCATGCCTGGCCCACACACACTAATATTTCTCCTATGTTAAATTTCTTCTGCTCAGCAAAATTTTTACCTGGGTAAGCAAAAAATAGTAAAGAAGAATAAGCAAACTTAGGATGTTATGATGACATCAGAGTATCTTGCTTTTGGAAAAGTGACCAATCAGATTGTCCTGACTAGCTCAGAAGCCAGTAAGAAGTAAGGCCTTAAGAAATAAAGTAGCTTTTTTCTTATATGTCATCTTTTGCTATGTTATGGCTGCATTTAAAACAACCTCTAAATCTCAGCGGCTTACAATGACAAAGGATTATTTCATGCTTCTGGTCACCTGTGATTCTTCTCTGTGTGTTTTCCTGATTTCAGGATTCCAGCTGGAGAAGCAGCTTCTATCTGGGACATTGCTATTGTTGGGGCAGAGGGAAAATAACAATGGATCTACTTAGTGGTTCTTAAAGCTTCTTTTTAGAAGTAGCCTGCCACTTCTCACATTTCATTGGCCAAAGGAAGTCTCCTGGCTAAGCCCAAAGTTAGGGTACCATTTAAAATACTCTCCAATTTTGCGTTAATGTGATTGCTCTGTTGTATATTCCATAATATAAAGCTTATGGAATATTTAAATTTGGTATAAGAACTGCTAAGCCTTAGGCTGATACTGTAAAAAGGGACATTTGCTTTTGTGTAAATTACATCTTTCAGGAAATGCTTGTGCATATCTTAAGTAGGATATTGGGAATTCGGTAGTTTTGAGGTTCCCTCATTAGGTGAACTATATCTGGTTCTCTGAATAGTAAGTTTTATTTTGAGGACTTAAACACAGGAAGGACTGACAAGAAGGAGCAAAAGAATCCCTTAGTAAGAAAGGCAGTTCTACTCTTGAACTGAAGTAACACCTTTGAGTAAATTAAATTACAGTCTTTTAAAGTAAGATTGACATGCCTTTTTGGTGCTGCAGTTCCATAATAATGGGAGAACTGAGTCTTAACTTCCTGTGTGCTGATGCTAGCGCCAGTGTTTTTAACCACTGTGGGATCTTGACAGCTGGAAGATGAACTGTAGTGGGGAAGGTGCATTGCCTTTGAAGTGAGGCCAAGCTTTATATCCTGACTCTGCTGCCTAATTACATGACCTCTCTGTTTGTAGCTGCCTTACCTAACTTTCAGGATTATGGTGAGGGTAAATGACAAAAAATTAAAGACTTTTGGAAAGGGAAGAGAGGAAAAGAAAGGAACCAGTATCAGTGCCTGCTTACCATATATGAGTCGCTCTGCTCAAGCACTGGATATATCAATTGAACCTGAGATCTTGTTGACTCAAGGCACATCCCAGCCCCTTATACATGTTTCTCCTAGATGCTTAGAGTAAAAGCTCATGTCTTAGTCCATTTTCTGTTGCTTATAACAGAACACTTAAAACGGAATAGTGTATTTTAAAAAAGGTATTTATTTCCTACAGTTATGTATGCTGAGTAGTCCAGTGTTGAGGGGCTATATCTGGTGATGGGGATTCTGTAGAGTTCCAAGATGGCACAGGGCGTCACATGGCAAGGGACTGAGTATGGTGACTCTGGTCTCTTTTCCTCTTCTTATAAAGCCACTAGTCTCATTCCCATGATAACCTGTTAATTCATTACCCAATTAATCCATTAGTCCTTGAATGGATTAATGCATTCATAAGGGCAGAGCCCTTATGACTAAATGACCTTTTAAAGGCCCCAACTCTCAATACTGCCACATAGGGGATTAAATTTCAACATGAGTTTTGGAGGGGAGAAATGTTTAAACTATAGCAGGCTGCTTTAGGCACTGATATAATCTCTGCAATGATAAGTATAGTACTTTACTTAGTAAACAAGAATATATACTGATTGGATGAATTAAACTTACACAATACAGGGAGAAAGATTATAAGAAAGCACATGTGAATTCTAGCTTGTAATAAATGAGCCATACATAAAATACCCACATCTCCCTTAAATATCTCCGTGACTATCACCAACCTGGGTTATGGGGGGAAACCTTGAATAAATTTAGAATAGCTCTTAGCTATTTGTCATTTTAAGAGCTAGAGTAGCTCTTAGCAATTTGTTATTTTGTCATTTGCCAGTTTTTTACAAATGTATTAAAGTTAATAGACTTAACATTAAATAGATTCATTTATTCAACCAACAAGTATTATTAGGCATCTATTATATAGCAAACACTGTTCTAGATGCTGGAGGAATATAGTGGGAATAAAACAGAATCCCTGCTTTCGTGGTGCATATATTCTAGTGGGGGGCAGTGGAGGGGCAGATAATCAACAAACACGTATGTAAAAATAGATAAAGGTAGGTGCTATGGAGAAAAAAAATGAGTGAATGGGACAGAAAATGCTGAAAGAAGACTTTTAAGGAGAGACTGCAGGAAGTGAAGGAGTGTGCTTTGAGGAGAGATTTGCTGCCTAAGCATCCCTGGCAGAGGAAACAGCTGATGGCCAGGTTACTGAGGCCAGAGAAGACCTGGTATGTTTTAGGGTTAGGAAGGGGGCCAACGTGGTTGTAGTGAGCAAAGTCATGAGGGGGACAAAAGTGAGAGATGAGGGCAGAGAGGTTGTAGAAGGCCAGATCACATAGGACCTTTAGTTCGGAGTAAGGACTGACTTTTACCCTGAGATGGGGAGCCATTAGAGGTTGT